CCAGTTTGTGGCCCTCCACTTGCCAAAAGGCTCACTTCCTGGCTCTTTACTGATGTTGAACTTATTTTTATTTACAGTCCTTTTCTAATTTCACCGGCTCCACGGATGAGCGCGGGATCTGCCAGTGCTCCGTCGTCCTGCCGGACACCACCTTTCCCGTGGAGAGAGTGGAACGCTTGGAAGTCACGGCTCAAGCTATCTCCAAGAAGTTCAACAAAGAGCTTTCTAAAGTAAGCATTTCATTCTTTTTTCCTCTTGCAACAATATCTTGGTAAGAACACACAAACAGAATACTTTTCATTCAGGGCTTTATAAGCAGCCGTTAAAAGCACATTTGCATCTAATGGAAACTTTAGCATTTATCTGGCGGTAACCTATGGAGTTCTTTATGGCAGGAAGAGTGAGAGCGCAGGAAGAAGGGATGGAGATGATCAGCACCATGGGAAAAACTCCCTTCAATACTGTGGTGCTCCCGCAGCTGGAAGGAAGCCTTGCCCGCTCCTTGTAAATTTCAGCTCTGCAGTCTTTATTTGGTTTTGTGGTTTCTTCTTCCTTTTGGTCTTCTTCTTGGTCCTTCCTCCATTTTTACCTTCTTTCCTCTCCTCTGCCCTCTTCGTGCTCTAGCTTCCTGCCCTGGTTCTTTTTCATCCAATTCCTATTCCAATCCTCCTCCTCTTCATTTCTTATTTCTCCTCTTGCCTCCGTCCTTCCCTTGTCCATCCTTTGAAATCTTTCTTTCCCTTTCCTTCTTCAATCTTTTGCTTTTGTTTTTTGTTTTGTGCTCTTTTGGGTCTTCTCTTGCTTTTGGTCTTTCTCCTTCCTTCTTCTCCTCCCATCCCTCAAATGCCCCTCTCATCTTCCTCCCTCCCTTTTTTTCTCTCTCTTCCTCTGATTTTGTCTTCGCGGTTCACTCTCCTCCATCTCTCCCTCTCCCTCCTTCTCAATGTTAGCCCCTATTGTCTCAGCAGGGAGCTTGTGTTAGATGAGTCTAGCATTAGACCAAAACCGAAGGCTTCCCTGGGAATTTGAATCAAGACCTATAGGTCGCTCAGCCTCGGGGAAAACCCCAACTTGACCCCCTGATTACCGCTTTCTCCAGCCAGAGGAAGTAGCCCTTCTCTGAGCTGGCTGGAGTGGTGTGACTTGGCATTCCAGTTTTGACCCTTTAACCTTTTTAGCCACGTTAGAAATCAATTAGCAGAGCCCCCATTTTCTGCACAGGCGAAGTCCAAGCTAGCTATCATCAGATTATGCGTCATTTGATATACCACACCATTAATTTACAAGGCGCTCTATCTTTGCCGCAAGATTCAAAATACATTTTCCCAAGAAATTTAAGCTCAGCTGCCTCAGCATCCAGCAGAATTATCTTTTAAGACAAAAATTATGAGGAGGCTGAGCCCTTGCTTTCAACCTGAATTGGTAGATAAATAGTTCTAAGTTTAAATGAGTGTCCAGGAAAATGTGTTTGACGACTCCGGGAACCTAGCTTCTTAAGAAGTGAAATGTCCTTGAATTAATCAGCAGAAAAGGCACAGCACTAAATTATAAATTCCAACCATTAATATTCATAGTCTTATTCCAGCATAATCAAGTACAGATAAGAAGTTATGCATAAAAACATAACAAGTGGAGGAAAATCCTAGGTAAGATCTTTTCAGTTAGAGTCATTTGCTTTGAAATAGTGGAAGCGGCTGATTTGCATGTCTTCCTGGCTGGCAGGGATGTGAAGGGCAGTTTGAAACCCCGGGCTGCTCCAGGGAGAGGTTTGTGAGTCTGGGACATTTCATTCCAATCCTGTAAGGGGGAGCTGGTGGCATATGCCTCGCTAATAATTGGCAGGGAAGAAGTGCAGAGTAGGAAAAACTTTCAGTTCTGAAAGTGTCAGTAGCTGGTCCTAAACAAATTGGTGATGGAGGCCTAAGAGAGGAATTGACCTGCTGGCTGAAATTTGCAAAATGGATTTGGGGCGTGACAGGTGACGCTAACAACTGTAACAGTAACAGCTTCCCTTTGTGCTTTTCTTAATGCTGCCAGTTCTAATTTCAAGCAACCCTTTAAGGCAGATAGGCCAGTGTTCTTTTTCCCATTTTAGGGATGAAAAAACTGAGGTTTGGAAGGATAAAGACACATAAATGTAAAAGGCGCTCTTCTTTTGGCCGGTTAAGCCAGGTCAGGAATTTGGGTCTTTGGAATCATCCGAGTTATCTTTTTTCTCTCGGCCGTGCTGTTATCATCCTCTAAGAAGAGGTGCAGTAGGTCAGTAGTGCCTTCCATCCAGAATTATCTCTTCAGCTGAAGGCTTTGGGTTTCTGCGTGAATTATTATAGCTGTCCCTAGGTTGCCTTGGAAATCACCGTTGATCTAGCGGCCTAGGGGGATGCCCGTTTGGTCAGACCGGTAGAAAAGGGTTTTGACTGTCTATGATTCATTATCTGTCAGTACACAGAGAAGAGAGGACTGCCTCTGCATAAGATGCTGAAAGCACTTTATACTTTCCTTTTGTTTGTGGTGTGTCCTCTTGTGACCGTACTTAGGACAGAGACAACACAAAAGGCAGCTCAGATTTTTTTTTTTTCCTCTGGAGGGTTACGGTCTTTGGGGCAAGTTATTTAATGTGACACTTTTGCTAATAGTCCCTCATGCATGAGAAGGTTGAGGCAGTGTAGGACACATTTAGGCAACCCATAAACAAATAGCATTGATTGAGCAATGTTTTGTGCGGTGAAATGTAATAAATTAAAAGGTCAGGTTGAGAAAATCTGAAATCACTGTTTCTGTAAATTGCTGTCATGTATAGGGCATCCATTACATTAGGCGCTTAATATACATAATCCCTAGTGCTTACAATCGTCATGTAAACTTGATACCATTACCCACAGTTTCTAGGAAGAAATTAAGGCTTAGAGAAATTAAGGGATTTGCTCGCTAAGTACTGAAGTCAGATTTGAGCTTAGGTGGGTCTAGCTCCAAAGTGCTTCATAGGTCTTGATGGTCATTTCAAGCTCAATTAATCTTGTGGTTAAAATATATTAAAATGGCAGTCCGTGACAAAGTACGTTTATTTATTTCAAATAATCTGGTTATGGTTATGAGCACAGGTTTTGAGGAACTGGCAGAAACACGAGCCAGATTAATTCTTTAGCTTAATAACCAGCTGTGCTGCATTCTTTATCTATTACAAGACCACATTTACTGCATGGAACCACTACAAACCTCCAAACGGACGTCTATTCTTAGAAGCCATCAATGACATGATACGTGTACAGCAAACAAAAGAATGGAAGCTCTGACTGTGGGGCTGGCGGTTTGAAGGCAAGTTTAGATGAGTCTTCTAAAGCTTCATCTTGGAGTGATGAGGACCTGGGCAGTAAAAGTGTTGAGACACGGAGGTGTCTCCCTAGGGCTAGACCCATATTCTCTACATATCCTCAGGCAGATTGAGCTGCCTCTGCTGAGGCTGCACCTTCCAGGGAGAGCTGGGATGTTTCCAGAATTGTCCATGCCATCTCAACCCTGGAGATCAGTTCATGTGAAGGGTTTAAATTAACAGTCTATTTAAATTAGTAAAGTTCAGACCGTGAAGTCTTTCTGGCCCATCCTCAAAATTCTCTTCCTTCTTCTAAAACTCCACAGATGATTCCAATTTTCCTGAGCGTCACTGAGCTATTCTAGAAATGTCAGCTGAAAGAACCTCAAGTCTCCCCCCCGAACAGATCTTTCGAGACCCCTCACTTTGTGGCTGAACTCGGGCAGGCACCCCACACACTCTCAGAGGTCACAAACTCCAGGGTAGGCCTTGGTTTTCAGGGAGAATCTGGGAGAGCCACATTTTATTTAGCAGAAATGACAGTTGAATCACTCATTTTTGTAGAGCAACAGCTGTGATATGCCACCAGAATGTTCCAGGAAAGCTAAGGGAGTTTCACTTGTTCCAAGAGCTGGCAAGGCCAAATGCCAGCAAGAATATTCATTTCACAGATTTCCATTTCTGCAGTGGGTTGGCACTTCATTATTATTATTATTTTTATCACAGGCAGGGTTTTATGCCTGATTTTTGTAGAAATTGAGACCTGGCTACCTTATATCTGTGTTTGTACTTTTGAGGGGGACTTGCTAGGTTTATATATATATATATATATACACACACATTTTATATATATATATATTAACCTCCTTATCCATCAAAATGTCACCAGCCTTTTCAGCCTCATCTGATGGCAGTGAGCATCAGTTGCCGGAGGAGCTACACTAGCAGTGCCAAGGGCTGCATTTTCAACTTTCATTTAAATCCTCTTTGCCTGAAGCCCTAGCCCTTCAGGTCTGCGGCCTATGAGTCTACTCTAATTTGCACAGCGGGGTTAAGTGGAAGGGCTAAAATGACAGAAGTGAAGGCTGCCTTTGGTATTAGAAGGATTAGAGGCCAACATCTGTCTCTGAATCTCTGAATTCATGCAGGCCCTGTGGATCACCCACTTAACATTAGCACAGTTTGGGGGAAAAGTCTCACTTCTCTTCAAATTTTTAAAAAGAATATATAGCAACTTTTAATGAGCAGGTCCTTAAAAAAGCCATGGCATTTCTTTTAGAGATCAGATACAGAAAGAACCACCAACTGTGTTTATTGGCATCTCCATTTGGAGATTCCAATTATACACTGAACCACCAAGGGAATTTTTGGAAGTATTTTAACTTAATGATCAGACATTCAAATATATGCAACAAATGTGTAATTTAAAGGTCTGATTGCAATAATCAGTTCTTGGAATAAACTTGGAATAAATATGTGGGTGCAGTTCACGAAATGTGCACTTTATAGTTGCACGTACATGCGCATATTGTGGAGTAAGTTAGGTCTTTATGCCACTTTGTCGAAGGCAGAGGGGATCAAAAACTCATTGCATATGGTGATCAAAGAAGGAATTCTTCCTAGAGCATTTCTCCCTCTTCTAGAAGATACTTAGATTTAGAGCAGTGGTTCTAAATGGAGGGAGGGTGCTGGTGGTGGTGATTTTGCCCCTGGGGAATATTTAGCAACATCTGGGACATTTATGGTTGTCACAACTGGGGTAGGGGTGGGGTTGGTGCCATTGGCATGCAGAGGCCAGGGATGATGCTAAACATCCTATAATATTCAAGAAAGCCCTCCCTTCCCCTAGGAAGAATGATCTAGCCCCAAATGTCAGTAGTGCTGGGAAGGCCTGATCTAGAGCAGATGCATTGAGGGGAGGAGGGTGGGCAAGAAGCTCTGATTCAAACCAATTTAGTTTGGAGAGCTACTATCTTCAAACATTAAAACGGAGATTAAAATGTGCTTGTAAATGATGACTCTGAAGCAAAATTATTTTTAGTCTAGGCAAGAGCAAAATCCACACCCTTCCCATTGTAGTAATAGATTCTTTTGACTTCGGATAGATTTTTAAAAAATCTAGTTAAATATATTTTTGACCCATTTCTTTATTTAAAAAAAAAAAAGACTGATAGCAATCAATTAGTCCCAGCAGACTTGGTAGTGGAGGAAGGCTGTATGACATCACTCAGGGAACGGACTTGAGCTGTTTGACTCCCTTTCAGGTGAAGGAATATGTCCAGTTAATCAGCGTGTATGAGAAGAAACTCTTCAACCTAACTGTCCGAATAGAGATTATGGAAAAAGATTCCATTTCTTACACGGAACTGGACTTTGAACTGATCAAGATAGAAGTGAGGGAGATGGAGAAACTGATTAAACGGCTGAAGATCGGTTTTGTTGGAAGCACAGTGATTGTTGACCAACTGGAAGTGGAGGTAAGGAATGAACTCACTTCTCGTGAATTAATAATAGAGTCTTTCCAGTGAGCCGGTTCTAGGACCAGGATAGGAATCTCTCTCCTCTAATGTCTAATTCTATAAGCTCTCATCACCACCTGGCACGTGCCGTGTTCTGCTTTAGATGCACGCCTGTCTTTGACTAGTAAGTTACACACATTGGGAACATGCTGACTGAGGAATAGGTGTCGTCTCAAGGTCAGAGTCGAAGAACCAGATGGCCTTTCAATATCTCTAGAAAGGAGGTAAGTGTGAACAACTCCACGGCCAAGCTAGATCAGGGGTCTCCTCTGTTCTGGATTTACCCTCATGGGACTAGACAGCCACAATTTACCTGATTTTAGACATGATAGGTCTGTTTCTCCTTTTGAATGATCACATAATCCTTGATCCCTCTTGGAACTCTTCTCCAAATACCGACAAGCCTCTTTAAAGGACTTTCTTATGAGTAGGTCATAGTGATGGCTTTTAAGCTCTGTGGATAAAGATCACCACATTAGGGTTATGGGTGGGTAATTCGTATCAGCAAGAATTTACTAGCACAGTCAGGACATGGGCTATAATTGAGAATTCCAGTTACCTATTTCAGAATGTAAGTTTCCTCTGGCCCTCACCACTCATTAGAAACTTAATTCTAATACAGCATGAGTAAACACACATTTATAGGGGAAGGTTATTAGAAATGAACTTTAATGGACATTTGTGGATGCCGAAACTAAGCCTGTTCTCCGTTATTAAAGCTGTTAAAGTCTTTGCCATTTTCTTCTTGTCACACACATCTGCCTGCGATCTGACAGGCGTTCACGCTAAACCAGGAAATGTATTCTTCCAAATTTGAAACCATTCAGAAGAATCTCGGGTGTATTCTCTGGCAATGTTTCCCTAAGTGACAAATTCAGCCCTGGAATGTTTATGAAAGAAATTGCACAATAATATAAAGTCGCTCTGAATTTTTATTTCCTTAGATAAGGAATATGACTCTCCTGGTAGAGAAACTCGAGACGCTAGACAAAAACAATGTTCTTGCCATTCGCCGAGAAATCCTGGCTCTGAAGAACCGGCTCAAGGAATGTGAGGCCTCTAAAGAGGAAATTGGTCCCACTCCTCCGGCTCCAGGTGAGCGTGCCTGATTTTCACCAGGCCTCGTAAGGAGCTGAGGGTGGGATGGGGAAGGGCTCTGGGATTGTGGACGTGAAGGAAGGATGGAATTTTTGCAGCCCCGAGTTTACTCTTCCCTACTTTTAAATCTTGTCCCTTACCAGCTCTACGACTATCACCTTCTGGGGCTCACAGAGGAAGAGCACAGACAATGAGATGATTTAAAACAAAATCCCCACATTACACGTAACCCCTTTGCATTTACGAACAGGGAAAACGTCTCTGTGATGGACTGGCTGTGGCGGCGGGTGGCTGAGGTGAAAGCCTCTGGAATCCACGAGGCATCCCCTCCGCTCTGTCCTGTGGATTGTCAGGGCTGATCGGCTCCTTTATCTGATGAGCTGCCTTGAATCCTCCTTTCCCCCTTCTTTCCTTCCCTCCTTCCACCTCTTTATTTCTCCTTCATGTTTTCCCTAAGTGCATGCAGAGCATCTGCTGTGTAGTGTGTCCTAGGATTCAGCGAGGATTTAACGGGTGGCTCCACGTGTCCAGGACATGTGGGTGTGTCCTGCCGGCCCTCCTGGACCGCGAGTTCCTGGAGGGAAGGGATGGCGTCTCACTGCTGTCTAAGGATTCATCCTTGGAGAGGGTCAGGTGTAGTACAGAGGTGGTCGCCCCATAACTACCTCCTTAGATGGGGTAATGGAATGTGGGAGTCAGTGTCCTGGCTTTGGGATCCCAAAGGCCTGAGCTTCTCACCTATGTGGCCCCAGCAAAAAGATCCTTCATCTCCTCCTTGGTGAAATGGGAGAACAGTAGGACCTACTGCAGGGTTGCTGTGAGGATTAACGAAATAAGGCTTGGGAGGCTCAGAGCTCAATGATCAGGATTTCTGTGCTGGTGATTGTTACTGTTATTAATGATGATAATTGAAGTGAACCCCGTGCTGCAAACGAAAGCGGTGCTAGACCCATGTGTGCTTCAACACGTGCCTCCAGGTCAACTAAACCCACAGCGTCCAGCCCTGGAGCCGGGGTCGCAGGGAAGCTCTCTCTGCATGTCCCGAGCATCTCAGCCTGAACGGGGACTGTACCTGTCCACCAGATCATACAGCTCTTGTGATTTTCATTCGTTCTTGTTGTCACAACTGCTTGCTTTTTGGCCATGCGTTTCTGGATCCTTGTCAGTGTCGCTGGTTTAAGTCTTTAATGAAATACTGCCATAGTTGAAAGCCTCTTGGTGTTGTTTGCTTTCTTCTCTCCCTCTAGTGCAGCTGGGGATCTGTCACTATATGACAGACAGAGAAGGGTTGGAACAATGGCCACGCTCTGTCCTCTGTAACAAACGAGGCTAAATTTGGTCTGGGATCAGCGGTGTCAATGCGTGTGGGAAAGGGGAGCTCGTTCTGCGGGACCATGGAGGGCTCCCTGAGGGCAGGAATATAGCAATGACAACCCCTGTTAAAACCTGAGCATGTCTTTCTCTTCTCCCTCCCTCCATCCCTTTTTTCTTTCTCTCTCTCTTTTTTTAACTTCAGCAAAATTTCCCCGTGGAATATCTTTTCCCAGCACAGTTTTCTGTGCATCCCTTGGAATGAGGACATTTTAGAGCAGGAAGGGACGTTCAGGGTCATCAGACATGACTGTCTCAGTGGAGGGGACTTGGTGGTAAGGTTGCTGCTTTTCCTGAGGTCACACAAGATGGTTAGTGACAGAGCTGAGGGTGAGGCGCAAGGCCCCTTATTCCCTGTCGTCTCAGGACCTTGAAGGTCAGGCATCAATAACGTAAGGTCGGTGATGGGGGAGAAAATACATTGCTTAGTGTCTAAGGAAGAAAACAAGCGAGTCTGTTGTATTATTTTTGTTAGCATTTTTCTTCCTAGAACTTTCCCCCGGGTCCTCACACCTAGACTTTCATGAGCCCTCCCAGCCCAGCTGTGTTGTTCAAGCAAATTGGACCCAGAGTTCCTCTCACTTTCCCACAACCTTGGCCATCCCTGGATCCCTGCCAAGCCCCTTGGCCCTCCTCCAGCTCTGTTCATATTATATTTATGATGTTTATATTAAACTGACTTTTTGTCATGTTTTGAAATCAATTTCTTCCACTTGCTCTCTTTCTATTTGGATTGGTCGATGATGCAGAATTGGAAAATCCCCAGGCACCACAAAGTTGTGGGCCTGTGGAGACTTTAATTAAAGTTACTCACTATTATGGGACTTTAAAATCTGGCCTGTCTGCTTTTTTTTTTTTCCACTGCAGACTTGCACAGAACGAAACAGACTCTATGCAAGTTTCAGCAAGAAAGTAATTCTGTGCTCTCTCGGCCCCTCCCAGCAGGATCTTAGAACTAGTACCTAGAATTAGGGTTCGATAAAACACGCTTTATAGATGGTTTATGCTGCAAATGGCACCTTTTTCTGCTTCACTTCATAGAACTTTCTAATCTAAAATAATTGGCCTTGTGCTCATTAACTGTTTTTCCTGAAAACAACTGACTTCAGTTTCTCTCTGTTCTCCCCCTGAATTGCACTAACTGCAGACAGTAAACTATGATGCAGAGACCCAGGCGTCCTCACCGTTGTGCTTGGAGATGCAAGGGTCTGTGCTGACACACAGTAGGTGTGCAGTAAATGGTCAATGAAAGATGTGGGGTGAGCAGCCCAAATCCCAAGCCTGGGGGAAGAGCTGGGTGTTGGGCAGCATAGAGCCAGTAATTCAGAATCAGTTTCATCTGAATCATTTTATGATTGTGACCATTTTAATTGCCTAATTCTGACAAGTCAATTGCATTCTCCTCTTTTTTCCATCCACGTTCAGTTGGCCAAATGAAAGAGTGCATTGACAGACCCAAGATTATGTTTCCTCTGCTAGCATATAATCCTCAGCTTAAAAAAAAATGCTACTAACCATGAGGCTTCAAAAACACAAGTTAGAGTATTTCAAAGCCTCACCCTGTGTCCTCCCAGAATATTCTCAGAATCCCATGACGATATCTAAGGAGCTACATGATGAAGAGATGGCTGACTAAGTCTATCTGATGTAGAAGGTTCCCTGCATTATGTTCTACGGAGTGAATACCAGGCTCTTGGGAAAATTCAGATATGCAGCAGGGTAGAGAGTTAGTGATTTATAAATAAGACTAAGCTGAATCTGGAAGATTTAATCAGTTTTTCATTCCTTTATTCCACAAACATAATTTGGTGCCACTGTGTGGCCGGTCCTCTTCTGGGCACTGAGGTCACCAGGATGGGCACAGAAACCTCCAGAACCACTACCTAGGAAGGGAAACCAGTCCTGTAAAATTTCAGTTGTGGCATCATGTGGTTATAATGCTGATCATTACCATTTACTGAGTTACCTGTACATACCTTCTGTCTAGTCTTGTCTTCCTGACAGTTCTGCAGAGTAGGTATTATCATTTTTCTTTTAACATAAGGAGGCTGAGGCTCAGAAAGTTACATAACTTGCGAGAGGAGACACAGCTCCTAAGTGCTGGAGTCAGGATGTGAATTGGAATCCGCCTGGCAATATTTTCACTGTACCGGGCTACCTCCCGTAGAGGCTTTAATAGAGAGAGAGGCGCACCTGTGATTCCTGGGATGAAATTAGAAGAAGGTTCCAGCGACTCACCAACCTGATTAACACCAAATTATCTTGGCTTCCTTGCTTGTGGAGTAGCTGGAAGGGTACTTTTGCTCTGAGTTCTATGATGTGTTCTCTCGCATTAGAAAACACAGAATGATTTGTTGGTCTTCCACAATTCTCGGGTCATGGTTGCGCAGTGGGTTGTTGTTCCAGTGGCAGGGTTAAGTCGGGATGAGTAAGGAAAGGAATGGAGGGTAAGACCTTGAAATGCAGGAAGGGGCTGGGAAGGGGCATGAGACGAGAAGGGGCCGGGAGAAGCTGGGTGTCGATGGGGTGGCTGGATGGGGACTCCGGCTGGGCTGGGTGAGCAGTGGGCACCGGGCTAGCTGTCAGTTTCAGTATTGTTTCTAGGACGGTTTGCTGCCAGGAGTCGAGGAAGCCCGCCACAGCCTTGTCGCGGGTCTGTCACTGCTGTAGCCGCACCTGAGCATTGACAATACTTAGATCTCTTCCTATTTCCACTTCCTTTGACCAAAGCCAGGGCTCAAAAATGGTCCAGAGGAGATAGAGGATGCAGGAGAGATAGCAAAAAGGACAGGAGAGTATTTAGGAATGGTTGGTGGGTGAGGAAAAGAGATTTGCATTTTATACACAGTTTCAATATTTAAACCAGGTACGATTTTAATCTCCTGGTCAACTTGCAAAATGGGGAGTCATTATTATATTATTACTATTAGTAGTAGTAGTAATAGTAATTTTTAAGAGAAATTTATTTTGGTTCCTTCCTATCTAAGGATTTCCACATCTAGGACAGAACGGTTTATTATCTTTAATTTCATAATAAAATGCTTGAATATGTATATGCAACATAAGTTTTCCTTAAATATTATATTGCTGTTGGTTTGGGAAATTTCTTTTTCAGAAAGGCAAGATCAAATTAGGCAAACAATCCCTCGGTCTTACAACCTGCAAGAGAAAAGTGACTTTCTTCCATTTCCTCAGAGTGAAATGTAGTTGAATAAATAAGTTCTCAGGAAGAGATTTTTAACTAGAAAATTCGGTTTGTAACATATGGAAACTCAAACAGTTTTTCTTATCATTAAACTGAACACACAGCTAACTTTATTTTAATAATTCATGCATTGTTTCATAAACAAAAGCAAACAAGCATTCATCTGAGAGCTCACTTTTAGAAGAGGAAATAATAATTTATCATTTTATTTATTATTTCTTTAGTGGAGAGCCGTCTCTTGGCTGAACACACGTTGCTTTTTTATTTATGAAATGGCGCATGCATTATTAAAATAAACCCGCGACTGTGTTCTGCTTAATGATATGCAAAATTATTTGAGGTTGGGTACAGAGTGGTTTCATTCCTCTACCTGTTGTACGGTTGGCTGACTTTTCCACCAACTGCGGATTTATGAGAGCATTTAAGAAGCACGTATTTAATTCCAGGACCCCAAAGTCCCAGCAGATTGGAAAAATAAAAGCAGAATTTCTAGTAATGGTTTCACCTCTGAGCAGTCCTTGAGGAGGGGAGAGGAGGGAGGCATTTAGCAAGGAAAGGAATGGATCTCCCCATACCTACAGAGGCAGAGACTCAGAGGTGAAAGCTTTGCACCCCTTTGCTCCCCGCCGTCTTAATCTCAGGCAGTTGTTTGGAGCTCTGCTTCTGGCTTGAGCTCACCTCCTATGCTCTCCATGGCTCCCCGATTCCCCAAGCATTTAAAGCCAGGTTCTGTTCCCTCCCCACTCACCTGCTCTGTGACAGGTGGCAGGATGAGGGAAACTGACCTCCAGTGTACTTGAGGTTGAATTTTCTTTGTTATTCCAATAAAATTTCTCACCAGTTTTTTTTAAGGGTATTTATTAAGATCCCAGAAAACGGGTGTTCAAGTGTTTAGATGGCTATTATAAGAATACTGGAAGAATTTTCTTTTCTTTTTTTATAGCTCATGAATGCTCTGGGTTGGCAGGCATATCAGAGGGAGGGCTATGTGAAGGGCTAGTGGCCCTGAGTCATTCACCCAAGTGTTACAGGGAATGTAGAGTCAGTGGACCGGTGAGCCTGGTCCTCCTTGGTTGTACACGTTGTGACAATGGCTGTGTCAGAATGGGAAAGATGAAAAACCTGCCCATCACTCTGTGGTGCAGGGGACTATGGATTATGAACAGCAAGACCCACCTTGTAGCTCTGCAGCGAGATGGTCACCAAGGAATATATGGGATGGCTGTGTCTTGGGCACAGAGCAGGCAACGTGGCCCTAAAGTAACTTCTGTGGCTTCTCAAGGCTGAAATCCCACCATGAGAGGACCACCTTTCTGTGTCTTTAAAATACCGTGTTTAAAACTTCCTCTTCTGAGAGTAGTGAGAGTAGCTTGGGGCAGTGTGGGTACGTGGTGTGGATGTGCCCTTGGGATCTGCCCAGGGAAGGGCAGAGGGTGAGGGGAAAAAAGACCTGCCTAGGACAGACTTCTCCTTCATCACAATTCTCCCTGACCCTGGTGAATAGCATTTCCTGGCTTTATGGAAGTAGGGTAGCATTCTCGCGTGATTTTGCTTTCTTGATACGTTTATAAGAAAAATGAAATAAAATAACATTTGTGAAATGCTTTCTCATAGAAGAAAATATATTAAATTCACCAAGTCGTCCTTTCCTCTTTCTGGACCCACAAACCTTATAATATGGCTCTGCGCAGTTGCATTATCCCCATTTTCCAGATTGAAAGCCCATCCACATAAATAAAAGAGAGTTCTCTCTAGAACGGACAGTGGGTGGGCGTTGAGACTGGAACCAAGTGGAGGTCTTGCCTCTTCTCCAATCAAACCATGGTTGTCATTGAACGTTGACAAGAAAAATGTTTATGGATTCCTTTGGGTCTTAGGATAGTAAACTGTTTGTATCTTGTGATTCATTTTCTCTAAGAATGTCCTTTCATTTCCTTGTTCCTCTAGGGAGCTGTGCTCACGGTGGTGTGGTGAACATCAGCAGACCAGATATAGTTAAGCTCAACTGGAGAGGGTTTTCCTATAAGTACGGTGCCTGGGGGCGGGATTACTCGCCCCAGCATCCAGGTGAAGGGCTGTACTGGGTGGCACCTTTGGATACAGATGGGAGAATTTTGCAATATTACAGACTTTACAATACAATGGATGATTTGCTATTGTACACAAATGCCCAGCAGAATCGGATTACCTATGGCCAAGGCAGTGGTATAGCAGTTTACAAGAACAGCATGTATGTGAACTGGTACAACACGGGGAACATTGCCAGAGTTAACCTGACCACCAACACAGTTGCTCGGACTCAAACTCTCCCGAATGCTGCCTACAATAACCGCTTTTCTTACGCTAATATCGGTTGGCAAGATATTGACTTGGCTGCGGATGAGAATGGATTGTGGGTGATTTACGCCACTGAAGCCAGCACTGGTAACATGGTGATTAGTAAACTCAACGACACCACACTTGAGGTGCTAAACACTTGGCAGACCAGGCAGTATAAACCATCTGTGACTAATGCGTTCATGGTGTGTGGGGTTCTGTATGCCACCCGAACTCTGAACACCAGAACAGAAGAGATTTTCTACTACTATGACACAAACACAGGGAAGGAGGGCAGACTAAGCATTGTCATGCAGAAGATGATGGAAAACTTGCAGAGTATTAACTATCACCCTTTCGAGCAGAAACTTTTTGTCTATAACGATGGTTATCTTCTGACTTACGATCTTGTCTTCCAGCAGAAACCCCAGTAAACTTTTATGTGTTTGGGTGAGAGAGAGAAAAATTTCATGGAAAAAAATGGTCTTCTCCACTTATTTAGCTGTCTGCGGGGCCAGGGGAACCCAGAGCATATCCGCTCAGCAGTAATGTTTGGGAGCTCTGTTCTACCATACTGGAGACTTAGGACTTCTGAGTTCTCTTGGAAGCTGTCTGCCTCTTGGGATGCACTTCTCTACTGAGATAATGTCCTTCCAGGGTGGGTGGGATTTTCAGAGGTCTCGGGACATTATGGTTCTGAGGAAGCCTTCAGTGAGGTGACATCTGGAAATTAAGGAACTTCAAGAGAGCTCTGTATGGCTTTTGGGGATTCTTTGCACAGGAGAGAGGGCCCAAGGACCAGTTCTCTTCCATATAGCCTGGCTAATCCTTCCATGCCCGAAAGAACCTCGAGCTTAATTAGGCAGATTGTTATCCAGAGCTCCTTGAGGGTCCAAATCTCCAACTTACTAGCTCCTTAAACCATGTTTGTATATAACAGACAAGTAAATTTAGCATGCTTATATCATATCTGTAAAATGCTCTGAGTTTTCTGGAGAAAGACTCTTTCTGGCATTAAGTTACATACTGCAAATCAAGTGAAGATGAGGCACTTGATTTTTCTTTTCTCCGTTGTCAACCTTCGTAAGAGTCAGTAGAACCCTCCACTGCAGAACTGCATTCCAAAGGCAGCTCAGAAGATCAGAATCAGACTTATCAATCAATTCTCTCACCCCTTCCCAACCTCCTACTTCAAAAAAAAATTAACTAGTTTTTAATGAAACAGATATATGATTAACAAAACTAACTTTCTTTTTTCTCATCAATGCACTTTTACTTACATGACTCTAAGAACAGAAAAAAAGGCAAATGGCTGTGATAAAATGGTAGCATGTCTAGTTGTATCATAAGCAGATCATTATGATCAGACTTAATAAAGGTCTAACATATTAAGATCTGACTTAATACAAGTCTGAGTCATATCAATTGCTTGCATTAAGTCATATCCATTGCTTCATGAGACTTTTGTCTTTGTCTAAGCCTGGAACTTGTAAGAAAATGAAATTTTAATTTTTTTCCAGGCTGATATGTAAAAAAAATACTTAAAAGCATGTGGAAAATCAGTGCAATGTGAAAACCTCGCAGGTGTGGGGGTGTGTGTGCTTTTGGGTGCCTTTATCATCAGGGCTTGGTCTATTCTCACTTGATGTTCAAGAGTCCTGCTTTATAGGACTGGCTCCTGAAATGATGTATTCTTCCCCTTTTAATAAAGGATTAAAATGTGTTTTGAAAAAGTTTTTGTCCTTTGCATTTTTTTACTCTTTTATTTATTTATTTATTTATAACATTTTTTATTGATTTATAATCATTTTAGAGTGTTGTGTCAAATTCCAGTGTTCAGCACAATTTTTCAGTCATTCATGGACATATACACACTCATTGTCACATTTTTTTCTCTGTGATTTATCATAACATTTTGTGTCTATTTCCCTGTGCTATACAGTGTAATCTTGTTTATGTATTCTACAATTTTGAAATCCCAGTCTATCCCTTCCCACCCTCTACCCTCCCTGGTAACCACAAGTCTGTATTCTCGGTCCATGAGTCTATTTCTGTCCTGTATTTATGCTTTGTTTTTGTTTGTTTGTGTG